GATATTGAAGAATAGTCGGACTAAAATATATGGATTTGTTTGAATATTGTATAGATCAAGATTGACTTACATAACATTTGATTTAAACAATTTGAATGATAGATAAGATTTTCGAGAAGATATCTACACATAAAGAATATGAAACAAATATTGATATTCTTGAATGTAAGAAACTGCTAGAATATTATTAGGATATAAACAAAGACAAGCAAGAAAAAATTCAATCTAAAATTAATTAAAATAAAAAAAAAATAAAATATTTTCTTTTTAATTTTACTTGGTGTTCAAATCGTTCAATTACTGAAACCCATTCAACAGGCTTATACGTCGAGGGATTTTAAACAAAAAAAAAAATCTATAATAAAAAAAGGAACTCTTTCATGAGCTTAGTCTGAAAGAAAAAGTCCAGATCTTATTTTATTTTTAACATTAATAATGAAAACGATATAATCATAGAGGACTTATTTCAACCAATCGAAAAATAGTTCTTGTTTTTTTGGCGTCTCTCAATTATAATGATCGATATATTTAGTAAAACTAACCCTAGTCGACTCTCCCCTAAAGGATCCCCGGGGAGTCCCTGGAGAATCCCCATATAGGGACTCCCCAGGGAGTTTTCTTTTTCTGATTTAATTCTGTTAAGTGCATAAATGTTTCTGATAGATACTAATATACATATTTTTAAATATAGCCATATGATTAGCTGTAGAAAGGTCCGGCTGGTGCAAAAAGAAGAAAGAAGCTGAAGTAAAAGTATTAAACGTTTTTGTTTCAAGCTAGAAAGTAAAATAAAAACACATTTATTTTTAAAGACAATATATGTACAAACAATGGATTAAAGTTTCATTATTAAAGCAACTTTTTTTTTCATAGAAGTAAATTATCGTCTAATATTTTTATTTTCTTTTTATAGAATTTTTGTTCTACGAATTGATAAATAGAAACCTAATTTTTTTTTAATAAATATTTTTTTATCAGCTTAATCGTTTAATGTCATTCCAGATTTTTTGAAATATGAGCATCAGTGTTAATGCTGAACGTTGTAGAGCTTATCGTCAACGCATTAGTAATGTATCTGACCGTCTTCAAAACACAGATACAACTCTTTCTCAACAAGGTAATGATATTAGCGTTCATCAAAAAGAGAATATAATGCTGATGAATGAAGATGAAATGGTCCAGAATGATATTAATAATTATTTTTATCAAATGCATGATTTGAATGATGATGAAATTGAACTAAATTCCTTTATATACAATAATAACAGTGATGATTATAATGACAATGAAACAAACTCCGATTCTGAATTAGATTATTCAACAGATACTAATGATTATGATAATACTCTTCTTTATCCCAATGGTTCTATTTCTCTTTGTCAAGCATATGCAGCAATTAAAAGTTTTATTGTTAAATGCAATTTAACCTATACTCACATATTATACTTGATAACATTAATTTTATTTTTGTTGCCTTTTAGACATCGATTGACTAAATTAGGAATATTAAACTGGTACAACAAATGTGAACAGTTTACTTACAAGACGTTATATATTAACTGTTGCCATCAAGTAAATATACAATTAGTGACTTTTGACTATAAATGACTCTGATCTTAGTACAGTAAAAGTAATGCTCAGCTTTACTTTAGAATAATAGAAAAAGTTGTCGTGCCTACTTCTTAACCAATATAAATAAATAAAAATATCTTAATATTTGTTTAAAATATAACTACTATTTTAATTTTTTTTAAATATTTACTTCTATATTTGTTAGCATGATTTATTACTAAATTAAGTAATCAACAAAAATATTCTGTTTATGCTAGTGTTTTAAGCGAGAAATTATTCATATGAGAAGTCTTCTATCTATTTTAAGCAACTACGAAATAACATGATAAACCATTAGTACGTATATAATTCTAAAACTTTATTCGTTTTTATTTAGGTTAATCCCAATGAAGGTAAATGTTCTTCTAAATGTGTATTCAATGGCCATCAACGAACAGCCGATTCATTAACCGAATTATGTCAAGCTAATATTTTTCAACGAATAAAATGTGTTGTTGAACGTAATTTACATTTGATAATAGAATATCAACAACGTGCTCATCGTCTTGTACCAAATGATATAGTAAATGATGCAGTCTATAAACAAATTCATACAAATAGTAAATTTAATCGTTTAACATTGAGCATTCATGCTGAAGGAATGCAGGTAATCACAACCAAGCCAAAAAAATTTTACGTAGTTACAGGAACAATATTACAGATGCCACCTCCTCATCGTGAGTTTGATCGAAATAAACTTATGCTTGTAGTTTATCTTTCTGAAAATGAACCTACACCATTACTTCTTTATGATCAGTTATCACAACAACTGCAACAATTAATCAACGAAAAATATGTTATTATTGATGGTGAAAAATTTAATATTACGTTTCAATTATTTAAAACTGATCTTCCATGCCGGTCGCTTTCAATATGTATCAAACAACACAATGGTTATTACTGTTGTTCTAATTGTCTTCAGTATTGGATCAAATCTTGGAATAAATGAAATTTTTTGTCAATTAGGTAAATTTTATTTTACAATCTATATAATTATTACTTTAATTATAATAAAATGAATAGGTGGAGCAAAAAATGTTGATTTTAAACAAGATCATTCCATACGTTTTGATATTTCAAGTGTACTTGATCAACTACATGTTAAAAATGACCAAACACTTGTTATTGGACTGGCTGTGGTGATTGAACGCATCTTTATATTAATGGTGAACTTGTATTTAATATGACTTTTGATAAATATAATAAAATGATTACACAACGTTCATATAGTTCAATTGTATCAAAAGGAGATGAACCATATCAAAATTTATATCAACCAAAAACATGTGATCCATTTCAACATATAATGGTATCATCAATTGATAACACAAAATCAATAATTTTATTTGAAATTGATGAACGTGAAGAAGAAAATAATTTCGTTTCAGTTATAAGACGTAGTATAAAGGAATATTCGAAAGAACCAATGGCATTTGGAGGTATATTTCTTATTGAAAAAGGTACAGTTATAGCTCATGTTATGCCAGATTTTCTCAATGAAGATTTAGCAACAAAACAACAAGTTGAACAATGGTTAAAATTTTATGATATGCATGCACCATTAAATTGTATATCTGTTATAATAACTGAAGATATTAATAATGCTGGATTTCGTTTAGAACATTCACATTTCTTTAGTGCTCATGAACAAAGTGGACATTATCATTTTGATATAACACCTAAAGAAGTACATTATCATGGTTATTTTATTCTTTGCAATGAAGCTATTATGATTGATCCGGTTCTATTATTACATTTGATTCATATTTTCCAATAATTTATATTTTATATAGTAATAGAATTGATTTTTCTTTGTGATTTTCTTATTTTTTTTTTATAAACGATTATTAATAGAAATCAGAAAATAAATATAATTTTTAACTAGGAATGCATTTATATTTTTCTGGAGGGTGTGGGTGTGGGTGTGGGTTGGGGATGGATGTGTAGTTCTTTCTTACATCCATATCGACACCCGCACCCCATATTTAAGTAGTACCAGGTTAGGGGTCTTTGATAAAAAAAAATCAGCAAATTCTGTCACGCTGATCTGGGGAAAGCCTATCATGAAGATAGACTATTTTTGACTCTAGAATATAGAGAAATCAGGAGTGACCTCAAAAAATTCAGCCATATTTTTTGAAGATATTGGTATTATTAAATATGATGGTTGTATTCAACATCTCAACATGTATATTTAATCAAAATTTCAGAGCTCTATCGTGTGCTGGTGACGAGATCTCGTTCAAATAGCTTACACAAGAGATTGATAAAAAGTTTCTCATATGAACAAAACTCTATTTTGGGTACTATTAGTCGGATGAGCGTATCTCAGTCAAAGTTCAACGTTAAGTCTAAAAATTTGGTTCTATATCTAAAAAAATTTGCTCTACAAATGGGATAATTTTCATCAAAATCTGAGTCTATCGATTGAGCACGATCGGTCGTGGCTTTCGTGCAGTGACTCCTATATAATATTCGAATTATTCTTCAACAATAGATGCAAGATAATGAACAAATATATAGGATGATAGAGAATTTCACGCTCTATCAAACTATATAATTACTTTTCTAAAAAGATAATTGTATAGTGATGAAAAATTTAAAAATCTAATTTTGATGACAGTGACAAAATCAAGTCTGTGGGAATCTGGACATGAAGGTGCCTTCATTGCACTCAATTTGTTTTGGTAATAAAAATGTTCAGACGAAAATGCAAATATACAAGCCGACAGAAAACTCCACTCGCTTTCAGAATATATCATTATTTTTTTTAAAATACACTATTATGATAACGATATTCGCAAAATACAGTGTGCAATTTATTTTTTCCAGGGGTATATCCCTAGAGAATATACTGAGTTAAGGGTACCCAAAAAAGTACCCTGATACCAGTATGTCACAGGAACTTTTGGGTACCAAAGTACTTGCAGGTACTTACAGGTACCTAAGTGGTACTTTGGCAAGTACCCTGCTGGAAAATGCACAGTAATTGGGTACCTAAAGGTACTGATCAAGTACTGAATTGGGTACCATTGTACAGTATTTCTAAGTACCCTGTTACCAAATTTTCAGTATGTTCAGGATCGAACCTGATCTTTGACTTTTTAAAATTTTTTCTTCTTCTTGAGATAATTTACTAGATTTTTTTTACTTTATTCAATTTAATTTTTTCAATTCCAAAAACTTAGCAGGAACAATGTCGGGATCCGACTCAACTTGAGTTGGTCGTAGACCACTTCAGGGTAGTCCGATCTCAATTTACGACCAAGCTCGGCATTTCTTCAACTAAGAAATAGTCAAGAAATAATTTAGAAAAAACTAGTATGAAAATTGATTATTTTCTTATGATTTATCGAGTTGTTTATATAGAGCCGTACGTAAAAAAGAAAACGGTGAATGAATAGTCGCCACACAGAATGCGAAAAATTTAGGATACCCTGTCGAGATTTCCTCAGTAAAGTTACAGACTTGTGTATCCATGCAGGTACTTATTCAGTGAATGTACTTTTACGGGTACCTCAAACAGTACATACATCAGTAAAATTACTGAGAATTTTCAAAGTACCCATATTGGGTACCCTGCTAGAGCTTTCTCAGTACATGGGTACCCTGAACTCA